AGGAAATATTCGCTAACTTTGTAGATCGTTTCAAAGTACGATATTATGAGTTTAAATTGATCGCACTGGAGTATTATGCATATTATCATTATTGTTACATCGTTATCGTACTAGACGCGCAAAGAAAATATTTCGTTTAACCTTACACGGGTGACTGAAGGAGTATAAAAATATATAGTTAGCGTCTTGAAATATCGTTATTTTAGTTTGTTATTTTTTTCTGACATTAGTTTCAACAAACGAGTCGCTCCCGCCGCATAATGAATTCCTTTTAGAAATGTGTATTAAATATTTCACCAGACGCAAAAAAAAAATATTCTCATTTCATCGTTCTGCTCATACAGAATCTCTATAAGAGATACGAGATACAAATAAATGATATTATTTTGATATCAATGATATCATAATATAAGTACCTACTATGTATATAATTGGATGCACACTAAACGCACGGTGTATAGCGTAGGTGTAAAATCGATTTTATATTTCTGGTCGAATTTTAATCAAGCGCTTCACGTTGCAGGTATTATATAAAATTATAAAATTGTCGTTTAGCCGAAACAACATAACAACTGTATTCGTAAAAAAATATATATTACGTAGGTCATGAGAACGATTTGCCGGTTGCATGAAAACAAGATTATTTTCAAATATTCACCGGCGATGCCAAGCACGTGCATTGTTGACGAATAACGACAATGATGATGACGATAATAATAATGCACCATAGACACGAGTGTGTCTTCACCTAGTACCAATATTTCGTAATTCTTTGTTATTTTGGAGAAAGAATTTCCGTGTGGACAACGATAACGCCCCCTCACGGGCCACACTGCACACAAGACCTAAACCTAAAATATCGTTGAATATTAAACCGCCTATTAAATGACGTACCTATAGGTTATAGTGATATCGACCGTCGTTTCGTATAAAATAATATAAAATTATGATTTACATAAAAATATTTATGATAATCATTAATTAATTTCGATATTTTCCTGGAATTGCTCAAAGGTATTATTATTTATTATTTTTTTGAATATGTATATAATATGTTTATTGGAAATTACCGACAACTCCTCTTAACATAAATCAGACACCTCTCACACCCGTTTCGATCATGTTTTTTTTTTTCGATTGATATTATTGGTTTCCCAAACCTGAACCAGTAGGTGTTTAACAAGGCTTAACTATATTATTTTTAATTGCCCAATTTTTTAAATACGATACACGGAACATTTGCCAAGATAAGACAAATTATTATAAATATTAAGATCAAAATGCAATATATGTAAACAAAATTGGAGATAACTACGATAGATTATTGCATGAGGACATCATAAGCGTGCATCGTTTTCGCCAAAAATCATATTTTTGTTTCACCAACTTTCGTTTCCACGAAATCATTTTTCTTTTAAAATTATAGTTTGAAATTTGGAAACCACTATACGTAATTACAATTCTTGTCTATTGTAGCTATTGTTGTTTGTTTTAAAGTATTCTGAAAATTTTATTTCCAAAAATAGGTCAACGTTTCCACTTTTCACCCTGAATAGTGAGGTCAAATTTCAGTGATAGGTAGTTTATGCAGGCCAACAAAGGATTTCGAATTATTGATTTTTTTTCGGATATGAATAAACTCTTAACGATACAAATTTACTTGGATTAAAGTGTTAATATGGGCTCTAATATTATAATTATATTGTAAGATATAATATATTATAAATTACGATAAACATGGATGGATTTTGTTTTCAAAAATAATTTATATTGAGATCTCATTGAAAAACTACTAGAACTGCCAACGAAATCAAATTAAAAAATGTAAATAAAATAAGACAATTAAGGTTCTAATTTGTAAAAGGCAAAAAAGTATAATATAAACCTAGTTTTTGACTGTCGCGTGTTTGATTGATTTAAGAATTATGATTATATTTGAATTTATTTATTTTATTATATTACTGAATTTATTGAATTTCGATTAGATTCAAGTGACTCAACGTATATTAAGATTTTTTGTTTGACTTACGTTTATGTTATTTATTTATTCATAACCTACCCATATGACTATATTATATTATTGGCCATACTGATTTTGATTAGATTCAACGTTACTTTTTTGTTACATCATAATATATTTTACATTCAACAATTTATTTACCTAATTATTAGTTGTTTAAAAAATCCTGATTAAAATATACGTATTGCGTCCCGGGTCTTCTGGACGTGATATTCGTGTATACTTTTTTTACGAGGACAACTCATATTATTATGCTCCTGCATGTACTGTTAGGTTGTGCATGACACATTATTATTATTATGATTCAGAGAGTTGTTGTTTTTCATTATTTTATTTCCACAACATTTTTTTTATATTTCATTTTTACTTAACACGTCATTATTTGTAATATTTTTTTAACTTTGCCACACTTGAATCAAGAGACAACAAGTCGCCACCACGAGAGCATCAATATTTACGACAATATTAAAATAAGGTATTTATTGAAATTACTTATTCTGTAGATAAAAGTGTACACTCATACAGCAATATACACATCATGTTGTAGGTATACATAGATGTAGTACACATGGTTGCATGAACAATTTATTAATTCAATGGTTCGTTAAAACTTAATGGACCAATCCTAGGCCACTAAATCATGTTTAAGCGACCATTAGCTCACTATTGATTCGTTAAATGTTTAGTGATTGTTCGTGCAACCTAGAAATAGTGTAGGAGATGTATGTAATATAGGTAGGTATATACCATTACAACCTACTCGTATATTATATAATACATATATACCTACAAGGGGTATATGATGGGTTCGAGCGGGACGTCAAAATATTTACATTTCAAAGATGTAACAGCCGCGGTAATCTCTTTTAGCCTATATAAACAAACGCCAACTTCCTCTTACGGCCACTGCTTACGCATATAGTATAATATTATTATATGTATATTAATATAATAAATAATCGATAACCCTCCTTCACGACGCACCAAGACGTAATGTTTGTATATATTATAGTGTAACCCACATAGCTGATAAACACTGCATAATCACTGTATAAGTACCTACACACGATATTGTTGTGCCATAATATATTATATTTGACGAACACTATACTGCAGTGACTGAATGACAACCGGTCTGTATTGTAAGCAGTGTTTGGAATTATCTAGATAAGATTTTTTGAAATAAATTATCTTTTAAAGTATCTAGATAATTATGTTATGATTTATCTAATGTTTAGCTTAGATAAAAAAAAATGGGCTTATATCTAGATAAACATTATAGTGCCCCTACAAAATTATAAAACCAATTTTACTAAAATTCTAATATAATATAAATTATTTATAAAATTAAAAGAATATATTTCTTGTTATTATTGCCATCGACGGTTTACGATAATACGAGAACCTGCGGGGGGGCTTGCACTGTACACCGTTCTTTACTAGCCATAATGAGCATATTAAAATTAATTAGGTATAGGTTTATTTCCCCATCCATTTTAAAAATAAATTAAAATGAACTTCGTAGAACTGTATTTCAAAGGTTCAATCCCGTTATTATAAATATTATGTCATTATATTGATATAGATCTAAAATTACAAAAATACTAAAAAACAATAAAAATATGTATAAAAAAATGATATTTATCTAGAAATTTATCTAGATAAATGTATTGTTGTATTTATCATTATCTAGATATATTACATTTATGTTATCTTTCTTTCTATCTAGATATTTTTTTAGTTATCTATTCCCAACACTGATTGTAAGTCGCAACGAATCGATAACATGCTGGCCGGAAGTTTGCGGCTGCAAAGAGGGTGTTGTCTAAATATTCGTGGTTTGATTCACGCACTGGTGAAACGTAAAATATTTAAGTTATTTTTTTTTTAACACTTCTATTTTATATTTTCTATAATTTCTTGATTATATTATATTTTTATTTAAAATATAATGGTTATATTACAATAGCCCCTATAGTATTTTTTTTAGATTTAGCCTGGTTATTCACGATAAAAGAATCATTTTATACGTATTATCCATGTCAATAAATTCTTAATAATAGTGGGCAGATAAAATGGGTGTTTGCAATTTTCTCCAAAATTAGTACCTAGATAAGTATTTGATATTTTCGTCGGTATCTTCGTTGACTCGACGGACTCGAATGACAAAAAAAAATTATATTTTTCTGAGTTTCTAGATACCCGTTATCTTATTAGGCAATCATTACAAAGCTTAATGTCCAATCCGTGGTAATCACGTTATTAATTTAATTACACAGTAGGTATTCATGTATTAACTCTTTACAAAAATAGTTCATTTAGTATAATATTACATGTCTTTTTTTTATAGATATATTATGATATTAACAATATCCAAAATACAGATGAATTACGAATCTTTTTATTTAAAATGTACCAGAAAAAAATCATATGTTAAATCTACCAGTGGCAAAATTTGGTCATGTTTTTTGGGGAATTGAAACATTTACCTCTAACACCCCTCCTCTATCTGTAATTTGTGTAATGTAAGGATTTGTAATGTTTTTGCAATGATGTAATGATTTCATAATTATTGTATTTTACTTTTATTTTGTCCTTTCAAGTCTATTTATTATTAGTAGGTATTAGTATTACTACGCTATTGCAATATTACTACAACTACTAATAATACTATCCATTTATTGTTACTATATAAATTGTATTATTATATTGTATTATTTGTAAATATTGGAATAAACAATTGAAATTTTTGTTTGACAAAAAAAATAGCAAATAGCTTGATCTAAAATTGAGAAATACAATAATTATAATTATATGTAAGTACATAAATAAATATTTTTCAAGTGTCCATGGGGGGGGGGGGGTTGAACCCCGTACCCCCCTTGAGCCCACCCCTATGTTGTAAATATGTTGAATCAATTTTGGTGCAAATTGACACACACACACACTCATGACATAGATTATATTATGTATAGCTTACCGGTAATTTGTAAGTGTCCGAACGGGTTGCCTTTCGACGGTCCCGTACAGTTCCACCGATGTGTACTAAACTGTTGTTGGCATTCTTGTTTGGCCATCCGTATGCCGTGACCGACGGCGGCCATCGCGTCAGGCGCAGCGGCGCAAATCCTCCGTTGACCCGCCGTCAGTCCGACTATCTTGTTGCAAATCACTTGGGCTCCAAACGCGCTTGCCAATGCCCTGCAACCATATAAACACTCAATTACTACACGATTCTTTATCAAAACAATAACGATTTTACTATATTATACAGAATTAGTCTATTGGAAAATCGTTAGGTATTTTGTGTTAACGTTATTCGCTGTAAGATTAGGAAATATATCATAACAAAGACCGAACTTCCGAGCGGCAAAAGTAAACTGTCAAGAATCCTAATCTTACATTGATCATAAACATTTTTTCATCTATACTTATGCAGGGATATATTTATATATTGAAAATATGATCGATTTTGTTTAAATGTCCTAGGTAGGTACTTAGGATAATGTCATAAATTAATTATAACAATGATTAAACAATATTTTCCTTCGAGGGAAACAATCAAAACAATTATCGAACATTATCAAAATGTAAATACTTGTTGTCAAACCTTGATTATAAAAATTAAAAATGTATATACTATATGATAATTGATTAATGATAACCGTTATTATTATTGTATCACTTTAATACTACATTATAATATTTGAAAGAAAAGTTTTAATTCTTAGTCCAACTCCTAATCATAGACCTATATTATAACCAGACTATAAATAGTGACATAAAAAACAGTAATAAAACATTAAATTAAAAGGTTTAATTTAATTAAAAGCCGGATATACCTAGCATAAAACATAAACATAATTATGAATTATACTAGAACCATTACTTTCTCCTTTATTTCACTATGGAGCTTGGTTCTATTATTAGATTAGGGCTTGGACTCAATAGTACTTAAATTCTCGATTACCAACTTTTTATTAATTACTAGCTGATCACGTGCACTTCGTTTCCCGTTAAATGTACCAACTCTATAAGACTCAAACTTTGTTCAATTCGTTATTTAATATTCGGTGTATGGTGTTCAAAATTTGTCTTAACTCTTCTGTTGCCTGGGATAAAAATTCTGATTCGCAGCAATATATTATCAGGTAGGCAATCTACCTGTGGTAGATGGCGGACATAGTGCTGTTTGTACGTAACTTTATAATTTAACCCTAAAGTATCAAAGTTATACCAAGTATGTCATTGAACTCCTGTTCAACGGCTGGACTAATTGTGAATGCTGAGGCTGTCGACCAATGGCATTTTTTTATGTACGTAACTTATATGTGAGTATAATACGCTCAATATTTACGTAATTGCGATACATATAATATCAAAACACAGGGTACAAAAAAATTAAATGCATTGAATGAATACACTGATTTTAAGGCAACCAATAGTTATTATGATAATAGCTTTAAAACCCGTGGTGACCATTTATAAACAAAAAATAATATTTTTTTTTTCAACAAACATGCTCGATTAACCAATAGCAATCAATATAATATAATACACTGTTGCGCCACGGTGTATTTTTACATCCAGATTTTGCAATTTTTCGGTGGATTTTCCTAAATTTTTCTTTCGTAAAAACCTACTTCTGGCAATTAACATTTAAAAAAAAATTTGAGCCAAATCGGACCAGCCGTTCTCGAGTTTTAGCGAGACTAACGAACAGCAATTCATTTTGATATATATAGATAGACTAACCACAATAGCAACGAACCTAATACAGTTCAACAAAACATCTCAAATCCCAATAGGTACCTATAATTTATAGGTATTATAAACTGTTAGACCTGAATGCCCGATTATATTTCGTATAAATATTTACATGATCATTTGTTGAAAGTAAGTCTTTACATTTAAATGTTAGTTTATTTATTAATATATAAATTGGATCAAAATGCATGTATAATGTATATATTACATATAATTAATTGTTACTGAAATTACTATTTTTAGTTATTACTATCAATTGTATTTATTTACTACTTATTATTTTTATAATTACTATCATATTCTTCTTCTTATTATTATTATATTAACTTTTTTTTAGGGACTCACGTCTTTCAAAACAAGGATTTTTATCCTTAGTGATGGACAAAGCAGTGTAAAATGAAAAAAAAGTCATCAAATTTTTGTAAACACCAATACTGCTAAATAAATAAAGACTATTATAATATAATATTTTATATAATATACATAAATATATTTAAATAACTGAATTTCACATTGAAGTATTTTAATAATATTCTTGTATTTGTTACTTATGTGCAAGTACAAATATTGTGGTGGCATCTGTACAATATACATGAATCAAAGTAAAACATTATGACAAACATTTCAGGTAATCTGTTGGTCCAAAGTACTCTTCGATCAATTTCATACTTATCCTATGCACAATGTATCACGAACATAATAATTTTGTTTTTTTTAGATCTAAGTCTTTGTTAGCTTGTTTAAAAAATATATTCTGTTTTTTAAATCTTAAAAACTTGTATAGCTAAGGATTGAAAATTTAAAACAAGGTTCCACGTAAATAGGATATATTATATAAATTACTTTTTTCACAATAAGATCATCAAATACACTTAGTAATATATTAGACTAACTGACCGTCTTCGCTCAGAAACGTTTTTATATACAGATTATACACAGGTAATATACAGGGTTATGATGAAAATTTATTATATACATGAAATAAAATTAATATGTACAAAAATAGTAAATAATATATACAGCGTTATGATAACAAATTATTATATAGGTACATGGAAATAAAATTATATGTAAAAAATAGTAAATACTAATACGACGACGACGACCGGCTAGAAGGAGCGTCGGTGAATAAACGCACCAAGCGCAGGTTAACGTCGAACGAACCGGCATTTTTACAAACCGCGGTTGTTCCTCTGTAACGCTTTAACCGAAGCCCTGCGAGTGGCGGCGGTCGCTGAACTTTGTGTTCACTGTCACTTTACCACGGCCGATCGTCATTACGACCGGCCAGATTTCTGCTCTACGGCCTATCCCGGTGGCAAGGATATTGCCACCACAGTCGACAGGAATCGAAAACGTAGTTGAAGCAAGATCAGTACGACCGGAGGCCTTAACAGATCATGACATCAGCGGGGACCAGAAAGAAGGAGAGAGTCCGTGAAAAAACGCACCAAGCGCAGGTTAACGTCGAACGAACTGGCATTTTTACAAACAGCGGACGACAAGGTCGAAGCAGCACGTTTACAAAGGACTCTGCCCACGGTTCCAAGAAGTAAACCAAGACTTGAGATTACTGAAGAAAATGTCGTATGTGCGGAGAACGCTACGACGACCTGCAGAAGGTCAAATCCTGGAACGGCCACTCCTGTGCAAGTCCTGACGTGTAAGCCTACTATCGACCCTGGAATGCAGGTAGTACCAAGTAAAAGCAAGAACGTGGTTAAGAATTATGGTAGAGTATTCCTCTGTAACGCTTTAACCGAAGCCCTGCAAGTGGCGGCCGTGCGGCGGTCGCTGAACTTCGTGTTCACTGTCGCTTTACCATGGCCGATCGTCATAACGACCGGCCAGATTGCTGCCTGTCCCGGTGGCGAGGATATTGCCACCTCAGTCGACAGAAATCGAAAACGTAGTTGAAGCAAGATCAGTACGACCGGAGGCCTTAACAGATGATGACAACAGCGGGGACCATCTAGAAGGAGCATTGGTGAATAAACGCACAAAGCGAAGGTTTGCGGCTTTTAGAAGGCGGCTTCTTGAAATTGGCCGAAGGTTGTGCTGTTGGTGTACTGCACCTACAGTGGATTAAATTTGGTGCGGATAGAAAACTGTTCACCCTATATGGTATTTATCTACACCGTGTAAAGCTCTTAAATTGTTTCTCAAGGTATAGTTTTAAGACATTATGTTAGTTATATTACTCAGGGGCGTATTTATGGGGGTGGCTGGGTGGGCTGCAGCCCCCCCTGAAATTTCAAGAAAATCCAAAAAATATGAATGTCAATAAAACTTTATTTGTTGGGTAAAAAAGCTTGAAAATTTAATACAAGGCTCCTGCTATATTGTTACAATAGCAGTTGAAAAATATTAAAAATCCTTAGTCATAGTTTTTTTATAAGCATTTAAAGTTCGAATCTTGACAAAATACGGAAAAATCACAAAACTTAAAATTTTGCTGAATGTTTTCATTTTATATACACCAAAAAAATTTGAAAATATTTTGCCTCTTTTTGAGCTATTTACGGACATTGACAGTTTTCATTTTTCTTAGTTTTTTTTCTATAAATATCAATAAAATTTTTTTGTTGGGTAAAAAAGCATGAAAATTTAACGCAAGGCTCCTGATATATTGTAACAATATTAGTTGAAAAGTATTAAAAATACATAGGCACAATTTTTTCTTATAATCATTTAAAGTTCGAATTTTGACAAAATTTATCAAATTTAAGATGTAATAAATATTTTGTAATTAAAAATTTATAAAATGTTCAACTTTCATAGTTAAGGATTAAAAATTTAAAACAATGGTCCACGTAAATAGGTTAATATATAAATTACTTCATTTACAATAATATCATCAAATATACTTTGTAATATCATAGGCTGACTGGACCGTTTTCGCTTAGAATCGTTTTTCTTATACAATGATATTATATCATTGAATTCAAATTTTACACCATCCATTACAGTGACCCACTTGTAACCTACTGTACAGCAGAGCGACATCCACTTACCCACTTTTTTGTTTTATTGTGTGACTATGTTGATAATTTTGTTCAGCCCCTCCCGAAATAAAATTCTGGATACGCGCCTGATATTACTTGTCCAACAGATTTATATTTAATATTTTGTACCTATATAATATTTTCCATGGGCGACACGGTTTGTAAAAATGCTAGTTCGTTCGGCGTTAACTGAATATCATTCATGTCGGCAATATTTTGTTCTGTGTTGACGCATAATTCCAAATATGTTGCGATTAGGTTATTTTGTTGAAAATTATCCATCGCAATAAATATTAAATCAAACTTGACGCGTTGATATAATAATAATTTAA